TTAAACTGACTAATATTTTTAAACCAATGCTTTGATCTGTTTTAAACCGACTAATATTTTTAAACCAATGCTTTGATCTGTTTTAAACCGACTAATATTTTTAAACCAATGCTTTGATCTGGTTTAAACCAATGTTTTAAGCTGATTATATCGATTGTACGTAGTTTTCTATAAACGAATTCTAAGAATAAACTTCGCATCAGTTATAAATACATGCTAGGTCAACCGTACCAATGTGATATCTATGTTTTTAGTTGATCCGTTACGTTGTCATTAACTCCAGTAATTATTACCGCTGAAATCAGTCTGAGACAGAAATTATGCAAGTTTAACAGAAAAATATTTCGAACAAATGTGTTTAACTAAGGTCCCTAAAGAATCAGCCGGTAACACAAACTCTGTTATTATCAAAGGCCGACACCCGCCTTCATATTTCTACTACGACTATGTGGCATTCTACAAATGCACGAACAAAAAAATCAAAGATGACAAAATGATCTTTCCAATACAGGAATTGTCATTCGGGGTAATTTTCACAAGTTGTAGAATAAAATGTGTTTTTCTTTTTTTATGTATGTATTATTCAAGCTAACAAAGGGCTAAAACCATCACAGTGACTTCTTAGCTCAACAATGAATGCACATAGAAAGAAGAAAAAAATACAAGCGTTGGCGTCCATAATCATTATACGTAATCTTACCTGTTTGATCTATAGGGCCTGAGGGATGTTTATATCAACATATAGCAAAAGCGAGGGCATGGAAAACATAAATATACATAATAACGAGTCCGTCTGCAAAATAATGGAGCCAAGCATGGAATGTGGAGAGGCAAGGATCTTGACATTATAAATTCTCAGAAAAAATCTATTGAATAGGCTTAATGTTTGGTTGGAATGCTAGGTGACACTTGCGAAATTATGCAATGAATGTTTAAAAAGAGTAGGCTAACGTTTATGTTGATTTTACTATAAAAACGATTGCTTAATGAAGTTTTACTAAACTTGGTTGAATAAGTCACTAGCATCGAATGATCAATCAATTACGTTTTGATGGATAAAGTTCAAAGGTCACAGACTGTTGTTATTCAGCGCGTGTGTGTGTGGCTGTAAAGAGATGAAGAACTTTATCTGAGAAATATTTGGTGAATTTTGACTAATTTTTCAAGAGATGTATAGAAACAAAATGTTGATGTTTTGGAACACATTTGACTAATTTCGAGAGCATTACAAATAATGCCTTTTGATGATAATAAATGGCTCAGAGTTGAGTATATCAAACAGGAAAAAAATATAATAATGTATTCTTACTCCAAATACGATAATATTTTGAAAAACTGTTTTTACATTGAACTCCTGGGAGTCAGCATGAAACAGGCTGTTTGTTTGTTTGTTATTAAGCGCAAAATTTCACAATGGGCCATCTGTTCTGTGCCCACTGCGAGGATCGAAACCCAAGCTGTAGTGTTTTAAGCTCTTAGACTTTCTGATGAGCCATCGGATAGTGCAGAAAACAGTCAGAAGAACATACTATGCAATCCAAGCTACTGTACCTGTTTAACACAATAATGTTGTTCATATTATAAGTATAAACAAAGGGCCTAGCATGGCCTGGTAGCTAAAGCGCTCGACTCTGATTCGCTGATAATTCTTTAGTCATGTGACCCGGAAGGATCAGGCACACCCTGGACCTCTACCTCCCTCCTTGACTGTTGTTTTGATTCTTGAATGTATTAGACGAAGGCCACATTAATTCTACGATGATGTTCGGTCCGGTAGCTAGGAAAATCCGTTTTAACATCATGGAGTTACTGCATGCACGCTACGATTGTTCGTAAGTTATCGCAAACCATGTTCGTGGATGTATAAACGTAGATTTTTTCATATTTTCCAGTAAATAATTAGCTTTCTCTCGTTCATTATAAACATCCAGTCTTATTCGGACAAACAGTTCCATAGATACTGATAGAAAAATATACAGTAATAATCATATTTGTACACACACAAAAAGAAAAACTTTTAAAATAAAATTAACACTATCTAGCTAACGGTTTGCCCAGTAGTAGGTGTCCATAGGTTGCATAACAAGTCCACTACATTTAGTGATGAGAGGTCACAAAAGCATACAGAGTTCCTAGATGCACAAACGCAACCTTCCTACACAATCACACAAACATCCGAATGTTGTCAGATAGATTTCAGAACAGACCAATAAGACTTTGAATAATAATACTTCATTTAGAACATTGAAAAACTTTATCATACACGATGAAGATAAACCAAAATAATAACGAGTTTCCAATTGTGTGTAGTTTGTTGATTTGTGATTTGTCTACACTTAATCATGCTGGGAAGGCATACTCTACAACTGGACGTATGTAGGTTTTATATATTTTGAGTATGTTTTCAGTTGTTGCTCCCCTCTTTCTTCTTCACCGGGATTCGATCCATGTTTTGAACCAGGGAGAGTCAGGTTCAGCATGGACCTCTTCTTACTTCTCAGGAATTGTTATTTTGTTTACACTGTTATCGAATCATATGCTATTTTCACATACTTTTCGTTAGTTTAGTTCCTCTCGGAGCGTTGTACGTATAATTCCCTATTGAATACTCTCCTAGTTAATAAACTAAGGATATGTGATGGTTGAAGTTTGTTGAACCCGTAGAATATGTGATGGTTGAAGTTTATTGAAGCCGTTGAATATGTGATGGTTGAAGTTTGTTGAACCCGTAGAATATGTGATGGTTGAAGTTTATTGAAGCCGTTGAATATGTGATGGTTGAAGTTTGTTGAACCCGTAGAATATGTGATGGTTGAAGTTTATTGAAGCCGTTGAATATGTGATGGTTGAAGTTTGTTGAAGCCGTTTCAATTTTACCGCCTTAAAGCCGTAAATATGGGTTCAACTGATGCTTAATGTTGCTCTAGTGCCTTTAGTGTGATTCGGCTCAAAACTTAAGCCCAGCATTCTCATCTACCAGTAATTATATAAGAATGAAGAACGGTTAGTTAACGTACTTCTTCATGAACCACCTGATTTTAAATATACTGTATAATTTATACATATATACATATATATTACTCATAATTTGGAATATATACGGATAAGGACAACTTTATATTGAGTAATTTAAAGAATATCTAAGCTGAAGGATATATTTGTAATTAAACTATTGGAAAAAATAAACAGCAACAACAAAATATGTTTGGTTTAATTTGGTTGTTGCTAAGCGCAAGTCTACCTAATGGACTGTTTGTGCTCTGCCCATCAGGAGTATCGAAAACCGAATTTTAGCGGAAATAAAAATAATCTCTATAGCCTGAGCAAAATAGATTATTTATAAAAAACAAAACAAGATACTTTCGTACGTCAAAGAACTGAGTAATTACTTATACAGACGAATTGTGTAATTACTTATAGAGAAGAATTGTGTAATTACTTATAGAGAAGAACTGTATAATTGCTTATAGAGAAGAATTGTGTAATTACTTATAGAGAAGAACTGTATAATTGCTTATAGAGGACTGTGTAATTACTTATAGAGAAGAATTGTGTAATTACTTATAGAGAAGAACTGTATAATTGCTTATAGAGGACTGTGTAATTACTTATTGAGAAGAATTGCGTAATTACTTATAGAGAAGAACTGTGTAATTACTTATTGAGAATAATTGTGTAATTACTTATAGAGAAGAACTGTGTAATTACTTATGGAGGACTGTGTAATTACTTACAGAGAAGAATTGTGTAATTACTTATATAGAACTGTGTAATTACTTATTGAGAAGAATTGTGTAATACTTATAGAGAAGAATGATTAACAAAGAAATATATGTAACGATTTATAGAAAACTATTAGTTATAGAGAAGAACTACGTAATTACCTATAGAGAAGAACTGTGTAATTATGTATAAACAAGAACTATATACGTTTATTTATTTATACTGAAGAGCTTTTTATTTATTAACAAAAAAAAACATATGTAACTATCTATAAAAAAAACAACTATACATTTACTAAAATAGAAGAGCTATCTTCTAGCTTTTAGAAAATAACTATAGAATTGTCACAAAATTACAAACTCACCAAGGTCATCTATAACTGGAGCAAGACGTAACGAAACACCCACCAGTAAAATACTCATTAGGATTATAACTATACCAGTTATAATGATGAGCCATCTTGTTTTTCGTGGAAGGTCATCTGAAGACGAAGATGACTTTGGTTGAACATTGCGTGTTTCGCGAATGGAGTCTGTTTGGCCCTCAGAATCAGAATAGCAAACGCAGTCCTTTTGCGCAAATGTTATAGATTTTGTAGTTCGAGGGTTAGGACAGATTAAAGTGACAGGAGTTGGTCCTCCTTGCCAGGTTTTAACTGAATGATCTAAAGGTGACAAAGGAACCTCTGGCCACTCTTCAGAGTCCCTATCGGAGCCATTTCTACTATTAGACAAGCACATGAAACTGTGACTTCTAAAACCCTGCTGGGTTGGCAGCTGATTTGGGCTGAGAAAATCCAAGCTTTCCACCAAGAACTGACGATCACTTGATGGTTTAGATGACATTGTGCTTCTGTTTCTGATAATTATCAGAGTCCACCCCGTTATGTTGATCTGAAAAGGTGTCTTTCGGTAATATCATGCTACGTGATATTCGTATTTGAATTTATGATATCAAGGCTATCATTAGGTCATTAGTCTTCGTTTCAACTTTTTTATGTCCTTGTAATGTTCATAATTTTACGATCTAATCCTCCTTTTTGTAGCTAATTTTTATCTGTGATATTATTTTAGTTGAAACTTCTGGAACGCGGGAGATATTTTTTATGAACACCTTTACTGGAGAAAAAGACAAATTACGAAGCTATTAGTATAGTCTTATCTTTCAAGACTGGTCCCGCTTTTATCAGTTGGGTTTATTTTTCGTGCGATTTTTGTCAGATGAAACACGAATTTCAATTTCAAGTTTACTGTTCAGGGATCAACACGCTGTGACGTTTGCGTGGTTACAAAAGTCAAATAACGATTACGCCTCAGGGATCTATCTATCCGTCTCTCAGATGTGAATCTTATGCCGCACGATCTAGGGACGAGAGCTAAGTTCAACATTTTACTGAACACAAGCAAGCTTACATAAGGCATTACACCAGCCTGGGGTTGATTTTGTGTGTGTGTGCACAACCATCTGCCTAAAGATATAAAAACAAAATCACGAGAAGATCTGACAGCTAACCACTAAAAGTACAAGTCAGGTTTTCAGCTGTTGGAGAAGACTGTGAATTATCTTGCTTGGAACCGACGAACCAGATCTTGAGAAACACACGAAACATGAGTAACAGTTGCGCAAGTAATCGATTTCGTCATGGTTTCGTGTCCTTACAACGCGAGTTACACGATACATCATTCCATGTCATAGACATTCTGCCGTATATAACAAGTGGGTCTGTTCCATATCATAGACATTCTGCCGTATATAACAAGTGGGTCTGGCAATATTATTATTATTGCCTTTTATACATAACATGAAATAATTAGTCTCCTTTGCTTATTATGTTTACTCTATTAACTCACCAGCTTATATACAATAACCAAACCATCGTTACTTACCCGTAGATTAAAAGTACAGGTACTGTATAATATATCAAACCTTATCAACGATTCTACTAACGTGCTGATATACTACGATTTAGCCAACGCCTTAAAATCACCAATCAAACAGTTGTTTATATTCTCCTATCATCACATTAGACAAAAAATCACTTGTTTGTTTTGCCAACTCTCGGACTGCACTTGTATGTTTCAATAGTGGAGTTTGACCTTCATTCACATAACGCACACACGGCCTCAAAATGAGAAGCGCGATTTTACGGCAACGAGACGCGTACCGAGAAACCTCGAATTCACAGACCAGAACGCTAACCATTAGGCCACGCCCAACTAAACATAAAAACAGGTAGAAACGTTTTAGTATATTTTCAGTCGTATTCACTCACTGTAAGCAATGCAATTTAATTTGAATACTGTTAGAACCACGAATGGAATTACCACAGTATTGGTTTCGCATCAGAGAACCGGCAGGTGGCTCAGTGGTAAGTCTGAAGGCTAAAAACACGGCACAGATAGCCCATTGTGCAGCTTTGTGCTTTACAGCAAACAAACATTCACATCAGAGACTGCCTTGATCTAGCAAATACATTTGTAAAAGGGTAGAAAAAAAAAAGGCTCATGCGTATTGATCCTTCAAAAGCTTAACTTATCGGAATAATAAAATTTCAATACTGACTTAGAATTGTGTTTGTTTGTAATTAAGCACAAAGCTCCACAATGGGCTATCTGTGCTCTTCATACCACGAGTATCGAAACCCGGATTCTAGCGTTGTAAATCCGCAGACTCTGTGCCATCGGGGGCTTAGAATTTTGTCTCATCATCAACACGCAAGGCAAGCGTGCTGTCAAATTTCACTTCTGTTTTTTTTATCAGCCATTATCTCCTGTTTATACAGCAGGTAATAAAGAAGCTATAACAGAATACGAGTTGTTAATAGTCCGACTTTAAACGTTCGGTGGTCACTGAAAGTCTTAAAAACTGTTTTGCAGATTTTTAGAATAAACCATACAGCACCTACCAAGGATATTACAATCCAAAAATACCATAAACGTTTTCTCTAATTTTAAAAATAAAATGACTTGTTTTAATAATTTTAATAAAAGTTTTTGCTTGTAAAACTATTAAATTGGAGCATCATAGTCATCCTTTGGTTTAATCAAATGTTATAGAAGATCTGTGTTATTGGTCTTGAAATTTGGAAATTTCTACACTGTCCATAAAATTTTTATCATAAAACAAAATCACCCTAACATATATAAAATCTTAACTTCAATAACTTGGAACGCTATACGCCCCTAGAAACAAAAATTGGAATACACATTAATTCATAAAAACGGTTGTATGAAACTTTGTTTTGAGCACCAGGGGGCAAGAGAAATTGTAACCCCCTTAACAATCTCACCTCGGCCTAACTCTGGTAACTTAATATAATAATATAAGATGATAAAAACCTTATAATCCGAGCGCTTTCGAAAGGTGGACCTTTCTTCTTCAGGGGTAAACATTCCCAGTTTACCCCTGAAGAAGAAAG